CCTCCTCCACGCCTCGCCGGCGGTCGCGCTCTCCGCCTTCGCCACTCGCCGGCCCGCAAGACCAGATCGTCAGCGAGAAGAAACCGGGAAAAGAGGAAATTTACAGAAAGCTAGAAAGAAGCCAGAAAGATACGAAATGAAAAAATTATAAAACTGAGAACTTCAGTTGTAAATTTTAAATAAATAAAAAATTTAAAATGACATGGATTTTATATAAAACACATAAATCTATATAAATGACATATCATCTGACACGTCATCGACAGTACCGGTACCCTTCTTTTATAGAAGGTACCGTAGAAATTCTCAAAAATAAAAGAGATTGTTTGGTTGAAGAAAAATAGAAAGGAGAAAAATTAAAAGGTGGTGAGCTTCACTTATTTATTTATTTATCTCTCCTCTCTCTTATATATATCTTACTTCTACACATTTTTTACATATTTCTATTCAACTAAATAACTAAATTTTTACTTTATTTCTTACCTATTTTTCTTTACTTTTTTATTTCTTTTTTACTTTTTTAATTTCTCTCTCCTCTATTTTTTACCTATTTTTTTCCTCTCTAGCTACCAACCACAAACTAAGGAACTTACTGTTGTTTTCTATCTTTTTCTTTTCATGTTTGGCTTATTTTTTTTAAGAAATTAAATTATTCTAATTCTATTTGATTATAAATTTGGGATACTAAATTTCTTCTTAAAATAAGTTGTATATGTTTAAAAGAGGATTATTCACGATTTCTTGAATTAACCTTTTTAGTGAATTTGGGTTTTTAAATGAATTATATTAATTTAACTAGTCCAGATTATTAATTGATTAAAATTTTTTAATACAGTATTTAATTAATTAATAAATAAGTTTTTCTGTTATGTTTGAAAAGAAACTTGAAACCTTATGATGTAATTATATGTGATATAATAATAGAAAGTTGTCGAATTTTTTACTCAAATAATATATTTTTAAAATAAATTTACCCAAATAGCACCTGTGCAAATCTATTTCCCCAATTAGAATCATTTACTGTTTACATTTTTTTTTCCGTTTTAAGTCCAGGTAATCTGAGAATTTTGCAACTGGAACGGCTCGTTCTGCAACTAAAACGGCTCGTTCTGCATGCATTCTCGTCGTGTTATTTTGCAACTGGAACGGCCCGTTCTTAAATCAGAACGGGCCGTTCTATAGTTGAGTTTTTTCACATAACCTCAATGTTGGAACAACCCGTTCTAACTAGGGATTTTAGCCCTTTTTAGTAGTTTGGAACGGGTCGTTCTGTTTTTGGAACGGCCCGTTCTGCCCAATTCTATGCACTATATGAAGTTTAATGTTTAGCTTATAAACTATTATAATTATACATTATTTGGACATGTTTTCGTAATGTGATGTGCAGGTTATTTATAACAAAAGTACTTCAACGGAAATCTCAACAAAAATATGTGATGCTTTTGGAGCAAATCGTTATCCTTTCTCAAATGACTTGAGTAAACAATTTCAGACGATAACAAAGCTATACGTAATTTTTTCTTAATGTTTGTGCATAGCTTTCAATTTTCGTTATAAAAAATTATGATGAATGCCTTAGAAAGTAAGTTCTCAACACCATCATTTATAGGTTCTATGGAGCAAAAATGAAAAATATGAGATGCTTCTATCCTGAGAAAAAATTGTTTCTGCAGGATCTTATAGTTGTTTATCAGTATGATATCTGGTTGTATTTAGTACTAGTGATGTGATAATTCTGTGGTACTCCTTCCATTTCTTATTATAAGACATTTTAACTGAATCTATGGACACCACTACCCTTTTTTCCTACCAAATTTGTTTCTGAGTGGGCATCTTGCATACGATATGCAGTTACCGGTAAAGGAAAGTGTTCTTACCGGAAATCTTCCGTTCCAAACTACTAAAAAGGGCTAAAATCCCTAGTTAGAACGGGTTGTTCCAACATTGAGGTTATGTGAAAAAACTCAACTCTAGAACGACCCGTTCTGATTTAAGAATGGGCCGTTCCAGTTGCAAAAAAAAATACGACGAGAATGCATGCAGAACAGGCCGTTCTGGTTGCAGAACGAG